AAAAAAAAAAAAACAACTTTGAATTGTTATCAAGTTGTAAGCATGATCCATTGTTGGTTAAAAAAATTAGCGTATCAATTTCTTTCACTTAAGGGACAGGCTATTACATGTTCCAAATCACCGGTAGAAAACACGGGCAAACCCATTGCCTCTATAACCAAAAGGAATCTCCTGACTTTCTCCCGACACTGCTCAGATGATATATAAGCACCTTTCTGATTCTGCAGCAATTTCAGGAACCTCTCATAAAGATTTTAACTTTTGGCCTGAAACAAATCTCAGGTTTGAAATAAGTTTGAATGCCAAAGACCATACCACAAGGAAAGTAGGATCTTGTTGGTTCACAATTCCACATAAAACTGTTCCATCAAACAATAGCATCCTTAGTTGTTCTTCTGATGCTTCCAAGGGAATATCGAGGCCAGGAAACAGATTATTTAGCCACTCTAGTAGTGATCGCCTCTTGGCTGAATCCAGAAAGAAAAGGAAAATAAGAAGCAACCCAAATCCAACAGGAGTCCATAAATATAGAAAGCTAAGTTCACCTAAAGTATCGTCTGGACTAATGCTTCCCATGCTGTCTGTTGCTCAATCCTCCCTTGCTGATTCAAACTATCATCTTTAAAACGAGACGTGTCATCCGAGACCCCTTTCTACTGCAAAAATGCCGCCTCGCAGCGATACCCATGGTCTCCAATATGAAATAAACTTCGCAGAGATCCAAAATATCTTATTAAATATGATAGTTTGTCACAATATGACAATATCTCTATCAGTGCAACGCACACAATTTCAGCGTTTCCTTTCAAACAAAATGCATTACCGGGGATCCGTAAAAGCACGTCAGAACTATGCAAATCTAGGGCACAAATCAATCGAAAACTCACAAATAAGACGGCTCCAAATTAAACAAGCCGGCGCGAGCGATCCAACGTGAACTCACTACCACGCCCTCAGACAAAGGGCCATAAATAAGCTATTCCAATCAAAAAAGGAAGCTAAACAAAGAAATCAAAGAAGCCCCCCGGCCGCTGAAACCCTAGTTTATGAAAAGAATGTCAGATCAGCAATGTCGTTCATCGATTCTCCTTCTCCCGGTCGCTATAGCTCTCTTCTTTCCCCTCCTCTCGTCCCCTCGCTTTTCTTTCACTCTTCTTTGTCGCTTTCTTCCTTCTCAACGCATTTATCGGATTTTTAATAAATGGGAGCTTCGTCTTCGCAGCAGATGGCGAGGGAAACAAAGAAGATGGGTTTCGGATTTTGTATTTTTTTTGCCTCCCTTCCAAATTAAACTTTTCATTTTCATTTTCATTTCTCTTTTATTTTATTTTATTTTTATGCGGTTAAAGCTGCTATTTTTATTTCCAGAATTTATATAAATAACCAATGATATTATTATATTATTTATCTAATGTTTACATGCCAGGATACAAACCAATGCTTATAAGTAAATCTAATTTCAATTTTTTTATATTTATACCTCCCAAATCATTCTTATCAACACAAAAA